AGCAGCCGACGGCGTTCGACGCGTCACCTTTCAAAATCACAACCGAGATGCCCCGAGCCCCAAACCTCCGCGAAAGAGCTTCTTGGCGCACCAGTGCACCTTCGCGATTTCGCCCAGGCAGGAACGCAATCTGGAATGCCGCAAACGTGCTGGGCCTTTACCAGGCAACGCCCATCCTACAAACCCGCGAAAGCACCCGGCTGCCTTGAACCCCGCCGTGCCGTTCTACGCGCTGAGCCCCGCAGCCTGAGAATAATGCCAGACCGCCGGGGCCAGCCCCGCTCCACCGACGCGGCGGGTGATTTTCCGGGCGCACTTGAGCGAGAATTCGCCGGCTTCAACCTCGGCCCCGGCACCCATGGGCCCCTCCGATCCCCAACGAGTCGACGGCGAGGAACGAACTCTCGAGCAGCGGGGCGAGAGCGGCCCCCCCCCCGCCATTCTCTCGGCGACGGGGCGTGCGACACCGGGGTCAAACCTCCGGGCGGGGCCCACCGCGAGCTGGAGATACTCGAAGGGCGCCCATGGAACAGAACCGACTTCCGCCTCGGGGTCTTCGCGGGCGCCTCTGACACCCGCGCGAGATCGCCCCCCCCCCTCCTCCACGCGGGCGAACTCGTCGCGCCCAAGTGGGGGCGGGGGGGGGGCTCCAGACAATGCCCCTGCACCTGAAGAAAATTCCCCGACGTTGCCCGAATGCCGCCGCTTGGTCCATCCACGGAAAACGATTCGCGCATACCAGCTTTCACAAGAACGCATTCGTCGGGGACACTATATCGCCGCTTCTTTGGATTCTTTGGACCTCAACATTGGCCCGCAAGCAAGCGCGCCAATCGCCTGACCTCCGCGCGCTTCTGAGATTTCAAGGCCGCCGCAATCTGGTCGACGAGCAGGGGCGAGACCTCCTCGACCAGATGCCGACAAAGCTGCCGAAGCTGCTTGAAACCCGCGCCAAATCCACCACCGCCCTCATGCCACCATCGCCAGTGCTACGCATAGACCGTCGAAGTGCCCGCGCGCGAGAGCGCCGGGGTGCAAAAGCCTTCGTCCTCTCGTCGGGCTCCGACTGCGTGCCGAAGTGCTTCTCAGCTGCGGCATAAACCGAGTGACCAACTGCTACAAGCCACATCTGGAGCTGGCGCGTTCGCCGAAAGGTCGGGGTGGTCAAGTCCCCCCAACCGTCCCTCCAAGTCCCCAATGCACCAATGAAGTCCGCCACTCCACCTCCTAGTTTAAATGCCATCGCCACCTCGTCGAAATCCCAGCGAGCACCATCGGAACGTGACCATGACATATCCAGCACTGAATCAATACGGTGCACGAGCCTGCCGAAGACCTTCGCATCGCCGCGCCGAGTCGTATTGCCGCTCGAAGACCGCCACGTAGCCCATCACACTCGAGCTCCTGCGGCCGTAGAACGCGTCGCCAACCCGGCATCCCATGGAAACGACGCGCATCGCAAACCGTTCGAATACATGCAGTATTTTGCCCCAGCGCAGCGCTGCTCGCCCCGCCTGCACTCGCCGTTCGCGACTGACCGAATACGCGCCAGACCCACCCCAGATTCTCAATGGAAGCCGAACGAAGACTACCGACCTGGCACATGACCACGCGATACTCTTCAAGCCAGGAGCGCACGCAGTCTACCGCGGCGCGGCAGCATCTGGAGGGGGCACCCTCAGCAGACTCTCTGCCTCTCCGACGAGCGGTGACAAATGCGCCATGGGCAGCGCGATGTCGAATCGCCCCGCCCTCGCGCAGCGGAGCGCCACGCGACCTTGCAGACGCCGAGGTGCAGGTGGGGAATCCAGCGCGCGGTTCCGCCCAGGACTTCTTCTCCTTCTTCTTCCGCAGCTGCAAGACGCGTTCACGCGCCGCCCTGCAGTGGAAAAGAAGCTGCACCTCAAGGCAATGCGACGTCGTAGATGAGCGAGGACCAACGACAACTCGCGCGCGCGCTCCCCCGTCGACGACAGCGCCGCGATGCCAACGCGCTTGAATGCCTCAGATATCTCACGCAGTCGCAGCCCACCAGCAGCAGCCGCGCATTTCTAGCGCAGGGAAGATAGCACGGCGGCCGCGAGAGGCGGCCGCGGGGCCATCCACCCCGAGAGCGAGTCCAACATCGGAGCGCACTGGAGCGCCCCAGCCCCAGCGCGCAGCACGCCTGGGGCGGGGGGGGCCGAAGGGACGGAGGACGGGGGGGAGGGGCGGGCGGCGGGGGGCGAGGAGGGGGGGGGGGAGGAGAAGGAGGAGGACGGAAGATGACGATGATGACGACGACTCAACTCCAACAGGCGCCAACGCATTAGCTGGGACAAATGACTCAGATGTGCGCTCAGCCAATGGAGGTTCAATGAGCTCCTGCGCTTCTGTGGTTCGTGGCCATTGCGCGACCGCGCGTTCGCGCTCTTCCCCCAGCCTCGCCCGCAGCTGCCATTCGGGCCCCCAGCGTCGCGAGAACGGCTGCCTCCATCTCCACTCGCGAAATCGGCGATGCTGACCCTGGCGCCCACGCAGCTGCGCCGCGTCCAGGGGACAAGCTGCCCCTCGACATTGCAGCAATGCGCCCGCCAGCCACGCCAGGGGCTCGCGCCCGCAACGCGCGCGGCGCGTCTGGCCCAGCGGCGCGCTTGCAATATTTCAACAAGGCCTCCTCGCCACTGGAGCCCTCCTATCAGCGCCCCTGGAGGGTGAGATCGGCCGCGCGGTCTCCACATCCGCCTGCGGGTCTATGAAATAAAACACGCCTGGCCAAATGCGCGGCGCAACGTTGCCCTTCGCCGGGGGGGCGCGACAGCGGGGGGGGGCCGCGAACGCGCCGCGACGTCGGCGCCCAGGCCAGTACGGCCCAACATTGCGCACGACTTCGCGAACGACGCCTGCGACTGCCCGCGCGACCCCGCTGGCGGCCAAAAAATACAAATAAACATTACGCTTCAATTCTTGCCCGCGCGACAGGGTGCAAGGCCACGCTGGCCCCCGAGACCGGGGGGCTCTCGCGAGAAAGCTCTACGCCCCAGCCCCGCGCTTCAGCATGCCGAACAAATGGCAAGCTAACCTCCGCGACCAGCATCACACTGGAGTCGCGGGGCACCTGGGGCCCCCCCTGGGACCCCGCCGAGCGGGCGGGGCCCCCCAGCGGTGACCCAGGCGACTTCGTTATCCCGGCGCTCCATCGGACCCCCACATGGGCCGCTTGAAGCCTGATGCCTCACGCTCGCCACAGGATGACGCCCGCGACGCGCGACCAACCCACTCGCAAGCTCGGGGGGCATCGCCATCTGCACAAAAAAAAAAAAAAAAAAAAAAAAAAAAAAAAAAAAAAAACGCCCGCATCAACTCGATCGCCCTCCCGATCACCTGCCGGAGCACGAACTGGACCTCCGCAGCCAGATAAACGACCATGAAAACAAATTGACGCTCAGAAAGAGGTGGCTCTACCAGACCACCAATGTCTGCCAGGGCCACGCTGGGCGCAATTTCGCCATCGCCGACGCAACCGCGGCAGGCCGCCACAACTCCATCCGCTTAGGGTCGACGACCTCTTCAGGCAGCGCGATCTAGCAGTCTGCGAAAGTGTCGTCGCCCGCGGAGCTACACACGCGGAGAATGGGAAAATCTCAGATTTCGTCCAAATTGTCCACCGGCAGTGGCAATGGCATTTCAACCGTCACCACATCGTCCTGCGACACGTTTTCCCAACATTGAGCAATGTCGCTGGCGCGCGGCGCCGTCGAGGCGCGAGACGGCTCGCCCGGGGATCGCCCTCTGAAGGCAAAATTTCCTACTTATCCACGTCGGCGGCCCTCTAGAACCAACGCGCTTATAAAATGTAGCATAGAATCGCGCGGCCGCGCGCTGCAATGCCAGCGCGCATGCGACGCGCCGCCCCTGGTCGCCCAATAATTCCCGCCCCCGCGCGCGGCTGCGCCGGCCAAAGGTCATGGACCCTGGGCCGACTGACATTCCAAGCGCCGTTCGAGCTCGCGCGCGGCCGCGCAGCACGCGCACGCCAAACAAGGGGAAGGACACGAGGAACGCACGATCATCACGACCTTCAAGTCCTCGATGAGTCGATGGGGCGGCGCGACTGGGAGCAGCGGCGCTGGGCGCCCTCTCGGCGCCACCCCCACCCCCCACACTGTTTCGCTCGCCTCTGATCATATCAAGAACCCCAAGGCCCCGCACACACGCCCTCGCCTGTCTGGGATGGGCCTGGAAGCCTCGCGGGCCCATGCTCACCAGACGGGATCGCCACCTCGCTCTCCGTCGGCACGCCCTGCGGGCGCGCCAGGTGCAGCAGCGGCCCAAAAGGGAGTCGCCCCAACATCACCTCCTCTTCCGGGAGCCCGAAGCCGGCGAGACGATGCTGGAGTTGGTCCTCGCCCCACTTTCCCACAGAGAACGGGCGGCAAGGAACTCGGTGAGCAGCTTCTGTCTGCGTGCTCCCGCACTCAACCAACTTGTCAGCGCGCCCGTTGCCGACGTCACCACGGTGAGATCTGCGCCACGGCGGCCGTCCCATCACAAATGCCGTCTGCAGAGCTGCAGTGAGCACGGGACTGCGCACTGGGCGTAACTCCCCCAGCAACAGCTAGACCACACGGGACTGCGCAGTGGGCGTAACTCCCCCGGCAACAGCTTGACCACACGGGACTGCGCACTGGGCATAAATCCCCCGGCAACAGCTTGACCACATGGAGGCAATCGAAGAACATCTGCACCTTGGAGCTCAAGGGCGCCACTGCCCCGTCCGTGCCGCATTCATGCATCAGCCAAAGGAAAATTACCAGCGGGGCTTGCAACTCGCCCGCATTGTTGGATCCGTCCAAAAAATTTGTCGTCGGACCACACATCTCCATCTGAAGCGTCTCCTAGACCTCCGGCTGGCCATTCGAAAACCAAACAACTCACCATTCGCACGGTGGGTCCAATGCCCGTTTCCGCCATGCCCGCATCGAACAGCTTCGAAAACGGCCGTCACAATGAAGGATCGCCTCGCCGTAGTCGTTACTGTGCATGATGCGTTTGGCCTGGTCCTCCGTCTGGCCCTGGGCCACAATGAACTGATCCATCTTCGTTCGGGCCTGTCCGACCTTCCTCGGCAGCCCGATCTCGCCCTCAAAATTGTCGATCCCGTGCCACAAGCATATTTTGAATGTACCGCCCGGGTCCACCGTCCGAGATGAAGCAGCCAAGGAAGAGGCAAAATTGATGCTCTTGTAGGTCTTCAGGACGCGCCACATGGTAACGGTATAATTGTCAGCGAAATAGATCTTGACCCTGGGTCAGTAGGCGCCGCAGCCCACCACCTTCTCGAAGGGCACGCTTTAGCTGAGCTTTGACGTCTTGGACGATGGGGTCCGCCTCGTTCCATTCGAGCCAGCCCACAAAGCAAACGTCGCGCATGGCTTGTAAGGCTGCTCGCCAATGCCGATGCTGCCGATGCCGCGGGAGACGCATCCATCAAGTCCTTCAGCTGCTTCCCATGTTCCTGCTGCGTCTGCTCGACCTTGTGCAGCTGCTTGCACGGGAAATTGTTCGCTTACTTGATTGGCTCGAACTCCTGCTTAAACGTGCCACCAGTCACCTCCCCGTGTGCCGCCAACAGCTCGGCGAAGTCGTCCGTCAGGCAGTGCTTTTGACTGAGATCCCCGACGCCCCCGCCTCTGGCGGAGTTCGCCGCCTTCACCGCAGCCCGCCCCCGCGTTCGAAGGTTTCCCTCCTCCTCCTCCTCCTCCTCCTCCTCCTCCTCCTCCTCCTCCTCCTCCTCAATGTCATCATCATGCGAGCGGTTTCTTATTCGGCGTTTCGACATTGAGCGAAGAGGGGGGGTTCTGGCTCTGGACCTCTGCTTAGTGCGACTGTTTACGACAGTGCGTCCTATGAGGGGAAAGACTCCACCTGCTCGAAACAGGGGCCAAAAACAGCCAAGATCTACTCCATGGGGGGGGAGGTGGAGGGGTGCGAGGGCCCGCGCCGATCGGCAAAACAAGGAATAAAAAACGATCACCATCGAGGAGGAGGAGGAGGAGGAGGAGGAGGGCGAAAGGCAGATCCTCAGACGTCGAAGCGAGGCTGCCGCGGCTCCCGAACAGCGCGCCGCCCGCGGGCAGAAGGCACCGCGTGCCGGAGCGGGCGGCTGGTTCGGGGCGGCGTGCCGCAGTCCTTGAGCCTTGAGCCACATGTCGGGTCGGGCGAAAGGGGGGGATAGCAAAGGGGGGGTTTGAGAATCAGCTCACGTAGCTGATTTCCCAGGCGCCTCCCGGCGCCGGAGGCGCCCATGTATCGAGGAATGGGCCCCTCGGTGAGGCCGAAACCGGCTGCATGCAGCAAATTTCGTAAGCCCCCCTTTCCCTAATCCCCCCCTTTCACCCGGCAGTGGAGGCGGAGGGGGAGGCAGGAGGGCCCAGGATCGAATCGACAAATCGGATCGGCGATCGAAGTGAATCGGATCGGCGGAAATCGGCAGCCGAATCGGGAAGAATTGAGTCGGCGGATATCGGCAGGCTAGTAGGCCTCCATCGAGAAATTGGAGCCCAAATCGAAATCCGAAGTCGAATCGAATCGGAATCGGAAGCCATCGAAATCGAATCGAATCAAATCGGAAGAATCGAAATGAGCCCTGGGGAGGCGGAGGGAAGGAAGAGTCTTAGGGGGCTCGACAGGGCGACAGGAGAGGAGGACGCGACACGAAAATCAGGAGCAGCACGGCGTCTTGGGCGATGGCGTTGCGCCGCCAGGGTATGTCCACATCCACCGACGCGGGGTCGTGTCCCAGGGACTCGGGGAGCGGTGGACATGGATGTCCGCCCACGCAGGCGGGCGGGCAGATATCCAGATCCACCTCTCCTCGAGATCCAACGGCACGACTCCGAAGCAGCGGCGCAAGCCCTGCCGCCCGCCCGCCCGGCCTCTCGGGCTGGCAGCAGGGCTGAACGGAGCACAGACGTGAGTGTGGCCCTGAATACGTATACGTAGTGTTCCCAGCATCGGAGCCTCGGAAGGGCTCTCTCGGGCCCTCTTCGGGCCCACTTGGGCTCTGAGGGCCCCTCTGGGTTGCCTCGGCGATGTCTTACAGGCCACACTCGGACCTTGCCACACTGGGGCGTTCTTGGGCCATAGCTCCCCTATCAGGAGAGCATGTTGTGCCCTCCTACGGCCGTCTTGAGGCTGTCCTGGGCCGTCGTAGGACCATCTTGGGACACTGTGGGAAAACACACACACACACAAACATACACACACACACACACACTGTGTGTGTGTGTTTTCTCCCACTGTGTGTGTGTATGTTTTCTTGTGTGTGTTTTCACACAGTGTGATGTTTGTTCCACAGTGTGTTTTGTGTGTGCTTGTGTTTTTCCCACAGATTGTATGTGCTTTTCCTATTGGGGTTATTTGGGGCCCCCTGGTCTCCCCCGATTCGCCCTACTGGATGCGTCCTACCGTATGCATGGCCTCGCGTGCGCTGTCTCCCCCGAGGCGCTCCTGGAGCGATCTCGAGCCGAGAAGTGGGCCGTCCTGGGCGCCTCTCTGCAGGCCCCGTGGAGCTCTGAGGGAATTTCTGGAGGGCTTGCTTCGGGCTCTTCTTGGGCTTCTCTAGGGTCGGGTCGGGCATGTCCCCCTGCAGGCGGATGTTGGGCGAAAGATTCAAGAGACACCAGAAATATGCAAAAACATGCACACAGGTAGTCGACAAAATCGTCCCCCGACCATCTTTTTCTATTTTTGAATGTTCCTCGTGTATAAAAGGGAAATTAGGATACACAAATAAATACACACAAAAAAATAGTCCCCATATTTTCTCATATTTTCTGGGTTTTTGTCTTCCCCCCCAATTCCCATATTTTCCCATATTTTCCTGGGAATCGAGGATTAATTGTGTCTGTGTGTGTTTTTTTCCCTCCTGAGTGTAGAGCGACACACCCGACTTAACTCTAGGGGGCGGCGGCGGCGGCGAGGAAGCGAAGCGAAGCGGGCGCCTGGGTCCTGCGAGCTCTTTTCGGGGGAGCCCGCCCGTGCCCGTCCGGGCATGGCGCGGAGGCCGCAGCCTCGACAGGGAAGGACTTCTGCTCGAGCTCGTCAAACACTCGTTAGGAGGCAACTACTGGGAGGTTGTCGTCGGAAAAAATAGGGAGGATTAAGCCCCATTTGAAAGCTGTTACGCCGGAATGGGCCTCGGACTACGCGGGATTAAGCCGGATTAAGCGGGATTAAGCCAGATCAAGCGGGATTAAGCCGGATTAAGCCGGATTTCGGACCAGGGCTACATCAGAATTTGACCTCCCAGGAGTTGCATCCGAGCACTCGGGAAACAAGCAGCAACATAAACATAAGAGCTCGGAGGTCCGCGCGGACTTCTCGGATCCCCGCTGGACCCCCCTAGAAGACCGCGCGGACCTCCGAGTTGTTGCGTGCATGTCATTGTTTGCTTCCCTAGAACTTCTGCTCGAGCTCGCCAGACACATGCCATCCCATCTGGTGACAGCTACTCGATGCACCCAGCAGCCCAGAGCCATCGTACCTCGTCTGTATTGCTGTGCCCGTGGTGTCGAGGAGGCCGACGACGCGAAGCGGGGGGTATATCCATATCCACCGCACGTGGAACCGACGTCCTGGGACCCGAGCGGGCGGTGGACATGGACACGTGTTGGCCCCGAGGGGCCCGAATCTACCCGTGCACCCACCACCCGCCGAGGTGCCCGAAGATCGATCCCCCGGGCGGCGGTCGCGCGAAAGTCCCCGCCTCGGAGACAGGGCGCGCGCGCGCGCGCGGAGAGGCTGCTCGGGGCGAAGGGGCTCGCGCGACTCCGTGCACCCGGCGGCCCAGACCCGTCGTGCAGTGGAGACCCATGCCAAGAAACACCCTGCCTGCCTCCAGGGTGCCCGATGGCTCCTTCGGCGTCGATGGTCCTGCGATGGGAAGCGCGACGCTCTCACACCAAAACTCGGTGGACGCCCTGGGGTCTCAGGGTTGGGCTTCTTGTGGAAGGCTCCTTGTGGATCCTCCCTCACCTCCCCCACCTTCCTCCTCATCCTCCTCATCCTCCTTCCCCTCCTGCTCCTCCTCCTCCTCCTCCTCCTCCTC